AGAGGCAGACCAAGTCCTGGCCAATGTAGGCCTAATGCTCAAGGAGAAACCTTCCCCTTTCTTGGCTATAATGGCAGGGAAATCCTGCCTAGACCGGGTAGCTCTCAAAGCAGCCCCATCTCCATTCCCATCACCCCTGTCTCAGCTCTTAACCTTCCTGTAGTCTTCAGTTCCAGTTGCCCCTTCCAATCCATCTCCCACCTTCACAGGTACCAGAGGAACTCAAACACCAATTAGATCAGGAAGGACCTGGGGCATTCACTGGCTTCCTCTGGGTCCCTCACTTCCCTGTGACCTGGCTCCCAGCTGGTACTCCAGTCCCATTTGCCCCTGTTGTATTTACTCTATCCTTCAGACACCTGTGGTGGCCCCAGTACCATAGGCAGCATCACCTCTTTTTGCTCTGCTTGGAATTCCCTGTCCAGTTATGTCCAGCTGACTAACTCCTTCTGATCTTGGAAGAAACAGCTCTATCAGTACCTCTGGGCAAATTAAGTGCCCATTCTCAGAGTTTCCCCCCTTTCTATCATCACAATGTACCCATAATTTTTTAATATTAATCTTTTTTTTGGACACAATATCTTTATTCCACTCATTCATTTTTATGTGGTACTGAGAATCAAACCCAGGGCCCTGTGCGTGCTAGGCAAGCGCTCTACCACTGAGCCAAAATCCCAGCGCCCCCATAATTTACTTTTCACTACACTGGGACCTCTGTGAGGTAAAAACAATGATTATTCTGATTCTATCCCTGAGCCCCACTATGTGCCTAGACTGGGACCTGGCACAACAATGAGAGCTTGTTGAATGGATGAAGGCCCAGCTGGTAATCCACAACCTCTCTGACCATGCATTATATATTCTTTTTTTTTTCCTTTGTGGTACTGGGGATTAAATCCAGGGGCACTCTACCATTGAGCTACATCCCCTACCCCTTTTTATTTTTTACATTTTTGAGACAGGATCTTGCTTTACCCAGATTGGCCTCAAACTTGCAACTCTCTCTCCTCTGCCTCCCCAGTAGTTGGGATGACAGGTGTGTGCTACCACCCTGGGATCATGCATTATATATTCTTATGTTCCCAAATGACCTAACAGTTTTTGTGACCTAACAGTTTTCTGGGTGTAAGATTTCTTTCTTTTTTTTAATATTTATTTTTTAGTTGTAGTTGGACACAAAATATCTTTATTTAACTTATTTACTTTCTGCTGAGGATCGAGCCCAGGGTCTCGCACGTGCCAGGTGAGCACTCTACTGCTGAGCCACAACCCCAGCCCTTGGGTGTAAGATTTCACTGCCATCCTAGACTGGAAGTGTAAGAAGACAGCTTGGAGGCAAGCACCACGTTGGGATCAGGACACTCCTGGATAGAGGCCACCATCAGAAAGATGGGGTCTCGCCTATAATCCCAGCCACTTTGTGAGTCTGAGAGAGGAGGATGGTAAATTTGAGGACAGCCTCAGCAACTTAGGGAGATCCTGTCTCAAAATAAAAAATGTAAAAAGCGCTGGGGCTATAGCTTAGTAGTAAAGTGCCCACAGATTCAATCCCCAATTCAAAAGAAAGAAGGTGGATGGGGTGGAAGGGGGGCTTCCTACTTCTCTCATTCTGCCTCTAGTCACTTCTGAAGTGGCACTGTCTCTGAGGTGCTCCCCTAGCCACCCCCTCCCCGTGTTCTAGGACTTCTTAGGTTTCTGCCTCAGCCTGGGGATGGCTGAACAGGGACATGTCAACCTTTGGAGCCTGCTTCTGGGGCAGCAGGGTCAGAGCGTTAGTAATACAGAGATGGGGTGCTCACAGGTGTAGGTCCATTGGTGAGTCAGCACACCCTGGGAAAGGCTGGAAATCAAAATTACTAGAGTAGGGGCATAAAGAAGGCAGTTCATGACTTTTTTCTGGCATGGGGACAGGTTAATGCTTTGAAGCTCTTCCCTACTTCCCAGGATGTTTCTAGACCGGAAGGGGACTTACCTGGTCCATCACAAGAGGAAGCCTCTACAGCCTTGCCTCCCTGAGAAGACTAGCAGACTCCACTTATAGAGTCCTGGTAACCAGGCAGTCAGTACCCCAGACCACTGGTGGTCCTGGTCAATTGGCTTTCTTCCAGAAATCCAACCAACTTCCGTTAAGCTTCTAGCATGCAGGGCTCATCCAAGTTTATTTTAGATGTTGAAACCCAGCAGAAGCCCAGGGCAAGGTACCTTAGTTGTCAGAATAGTTTACATTCTTTTTATGCTTTTTTGAGCCACCTCTGAGAGTCAAACACACACAAACGCTTGGCCCTCCCCAGGGACTCAAGAATGGGAAATCAGGGCTACGGGTGTACCTCAGTGGTAGAGTGCTCACCTAGAATGCTACAGGCAATGAGTTCAATCCCCAGCACCACAAACAAAACTAGAATATCAAAGAGGTCAATAATTGACAGTGTGGATGACAGGGCTTAAATTTACTTATCCAAAACCCAAGGGGAAATATGAGGGAGTGCTTCCTGAAGAGGCCCTCCTCTAACTGCATAAATCTACCTCTTTTCACCAGCAGGATTTATTTCAGGGTTCTGCTAGTAAAATGATTTATAAATACATTCTTCCCCATCTCTTCTTTTCCAGGGGTGCTGCAGAGTTGCACAGGGTGGGGTCTGCTTCTTMGATCCTGGAGCTATAGCCTTCCTCCCTCCCAGCCCTGGCAACCATTGGAGCTCTTCCAGCACACCCTCCCCCCAGCTGACTTGGGTTTGGGCAGAGGATCCAAGGCCGTTATCTTTCAACAGACAGCTGTGCAGGGCTGGAGGCAGCAGCTTATCAGGAAGCCTGCAGTGATTCACAGCCCAAGTCCCAGCTTCTCTGCTGAATAGTAATTTCCAGCAGTAGATTTGTGCTCAGTCTCTCTCCTCCCCCTCTCCCAAGGGTGTGCTGTCCTTTTGCAGAGAGGGCAGTGAAGGGGAGATTCTACCCACAGGGATGAGGGCTTTGTGCCAGCCTTCTGGGTAAGGCTGTCTATTGAAAGGAGGTCGCAGTTTGGGGGACCTCGGCAGAAGTCTGCCATCCTTGGCAGTGACCCCTAAGAGAGCTCATCCGTGCTTTCCTTCCTTCCTCTCCCAGAAAAGCAATGTGCTGCTCCCTTTCCCTTTATGGGGAGATAAAGGGGGATACTGGCCCCCCTTTCCATCAAAAGCCCATAAGTTCATACCCAGCCAGTGAGGGCAGGGGATAGAGAAGCCAGACACTGGGCAGTATGCCTTTTGTACCATTTGAAGCTGTCCAATCTCTGCACTTGACCCTGAAGACTCCAAGGCTAAGGCTGGAGGAGGGCAGCCCAGAACTCCAAAGGCTAAAGCTGAGACACAAGGGGTGCAGGCCAGAGCTGCTGTTGCATAGACAGGTGATTAGGAAAAAACCAGGAACAGAGCCATTTTTGTGTTTGTTTTATTGGAAGCGACCTCAGCTGTGGGGCTCAGGGGAGAAATCACGGAAAGTTCTGTCGTGGGTGTCTCCCGCTGGGTCAGCAGGGGGAAGGAGGATATTAAAAGAGGAAGGAAGAAAAACTAAAATGGAACCTGTTCCAGGGCAGGGGGCAGAATTGGGCCCCCACATCTCAGACTATTCTACCCTCAAGCAATCAGTTTCTCAGTCCTGATCTCCTCTGTCAACGGTGGAGGTGATTTCAAGACCTCTTTTCAGCTGCCAGAGTTCGGCTCCCTTCATGAATGCTGGGCACCTTTAATCCCTGTGAGTCCCAAACAAGACTTGAGTCCCACTGCCCACCATTCCCTCCCTATAGAAGACCCCAGTATGGCCGAGAAAAGGTGATGGTGGAGTTCTACATCTTTAGGTAACACAAGCGGCAAAGCAACCATTTCATGAAGCTTCCCGGGGCTCATGGAGACCCTCTCCTGCCACTCTTGGGTCCCCTCTCGTCGCCTTGGGTCCATGCTGCTATTCTGAGGAGCTGTGCTCAGGCTGTGGCCTCCTGAGGACCCAAGTATGACAAGCTAGGAGGGGTGCGTTTGAAGGTACAGGTAGGTGCTTGGGGTAAGATCCAGTCGGTCTGAATGGCCCCGAGTACAAAGTTCTCAGGCAGTTCTGTTCTCGTCCGCAGCCCCTGGCTCAAGCTGCGACCGCTTCGCGTTACCTTCTTCAGCTGTGGACTCCCCTAGGCTCCTCTTGGACGTTGGAGCTGTTGGTGGAGACGAAGGACCAGGATGGGGGCTCGGGGGCTGGTAGCCGAGTTGCCGCGGATCCAGTGCGTCCTTGGAGAGTAGGATGGCGAGGCTGGGCACATTCTTAAGTACACTGAGACTGGCAGCGGGCTCGCCAGGGGTCTGACCCGGCTTGGGCCCAGGCGGGAGGCTCTGCCACACCTCGCGCACGCTCCGGTAGCGCAGCCGCGTGACCTGGTGCAAGCCCGCCAGGCGGCGCTTGAGGATCTCGGCGCACGTGACGGTCTTGGTGGTGGCCCGGCCGCAGCCGCTGAAGACGATGGCGCGCGTGGCTGGCTGCGCCATGCTGGCGGTGGCGAAGGCCATCAGGTTGCGGATCTTGCTGCCCTCCTTGACCCGCATGTGCACAGCGCCGGGTGCCAGATCGGCAAACGGGCCTGAACCCGGGCCACCCTCCTCGGTCCCACCCCCCGCCGGCGCCTCTTCTGAGCGCACCTTACGGAAGTTCTCCATGCACYGTCGTCGCCAGGACCGCCAGCTTTGCCATCGGACCGCCTCAACCCCGAGGCTGCATGGTCGCGGGTCGCGAGGGCCGGCAGGGGTAAGGGTGCCGGAACAGCGCGGACGCTAGCGGGATGGCTGGGACCGCGCGACCCTTACTTCCCACTTCTCTCAGCCGGCGCTGCTCTACTCGGCGCTCTCAGCCCTGCGCTCCGCGCCTTTAGCCGAGGCCCCGCCTGGGAGGTCCCGCCCCCTCCTCAAGGCCCCGCCCCCACTCTCCCCTGCTGGGCCCAGTTTCAGCCTCACCAACCTTTCAGAGAATAAGTCTTCGTGCTCTGCTTCTAGGACACCGCGGCCGCGCTCACAGAGGGGCGCTTTAGCATCAGAGGGTGCCTTGGAAGGCGAAGTTCCCCTACAGTCACCATCAGTCCTCCCCGAACCGACCCTCATAAAGGGGCAACCTAAATAAAAGCTATGCTTGCGATGCAAACGCCTTTTCAAGCCAGGTCTCTAAGCCCTTCCCAGTTCCAATTGAAKGCTCCCCTAGTCCCCTCCTAGGGAGAGATTTGCAAGCGGCCTGCTGGGGCCTTGCTCCTCCAATTCTCAGGAGAGAGTCCCCTCCCTTCCGCCCCCTAGTATTCTCGCCTCAAGGACAGCGGGTGCACGGTCAGCAGAGTGCGGGAGGCGCTGACTGCGGCTCCACTCCGCGCCTCCCCTCTGATGACTGTGTCGCTGCGCGGTCCTCCGCTAGCGGCCAGAGACCGAGATTTTAGCCTCACCACTCCTGACCCGAACTAGAAGATACCAGCCTCCTCCCAACATACACCACTCAGGCGCCGGGGATGGTGATGTCCTGGCCCCGACAGTTCCCTAAAGTGGATGGAGAAAAGAACGAGGAGACCCTCCAAGAGGCGTTAAGCTCCCCCTACCATCCTTGAAAGTCTATTAGGGAAGTATGCTTTAGCGTAAGCCAGCTATTGCTCCCTGCCAACACGAATCCCCCACCTTCCTTTCTCCGAGATGCAATTCGTTGTCAGTCAGCCTTGGCCCCTAGAGAACCAGTGGAATCTATTTTCAAAAGGATACTGAAGTGAAGGCAAATTTTGAGAGAGATTGGGAGAAAGGTGTGGAGTTGAAGCTTTGGGGTATATGAAACTACTGGATGCCCTCTTTGGAAACTCCACAGGACCAAAGGAGAGGCTCAGGGTCTCCTGCATGGACAGGAACCTGGGACTGATGGACTCATGGGAGAGAGAGAGGGGTTTTTGTTTGTTTTGTACTGAGTATTGAATCAGGGGTGCCCTACCACTGAGCTACAGCCCCAGCCCCTTTTTAATTTTATTTTGCGATACTGGGGATCAAAGCCAGTGCCTCATGCATGCAAGGTAGGCACACTACCAGTGAGCTATATCCCCAAGCCCTCCAGCCCCTTTTAAATTTTAGACAGGGTCTCACTGATTTGCCGAGGCTGACATCTAATTTGTGATCCTCCCGCTTCAGCCTCTGGGGATGCTGGAATTACAAGCTTGCATCATGGAAACTGAGAGAATCTGAGAAGGAGCCCGACTTTCTCTAAAACTGCCCTAGGACATTTCCCTTCATCCTCCACACTGTTCACACACCGAACAGCCGGGCAGATTTGGTCTGTGTACTGTGACTGAGGAAGCGCAGCGAGGAGGAGCACCGAGGATTGAGGCAGGCTTGTGCCCTCAAAAATGGTAGGGGAGTAAAGGTGCTTGGGATTGCTGGGCTTCGGTGTAGGGATGGGGCTGCGTGGCGCCTTCCTGYCGCTTTTCGGAACTCAGGAACACATGCTTGCTAGGCGAGCACTCTACTTTCTCAGCCTCTCTCGTGGCTATTCTCCATTTGGCGTTGTTACAGTTCTTGGCCCCTGCTGTTCAAAACTCGGGGTTTATCCTTTAGTCACCCCCTTTGTGGGTGTCTGCAGCACCTTTGCTCCCCAAAGTATGAATGGCTGAACCCCTCGACGATCTCCTGCTCGTAGGTTGGGACTAGGAGCCTCTGAGTATACTCTGCACCTGGACACGGGCCTCCTCCCAGCTCCCGGGCTCAAGAGGAACAGCGATAGGGAGCGGAGCAACCTCAGAAGACACAAAGACTGTGTACGGTGTTCTGGACGCAAGGAACCTCAGGCTCTGTAAGGCGGGGTCGGTAATGAGAATTAAATGGATGGCAGTTTCGGAGAGGCCTGAGAAAATGTCTCGGAAAGATTAGAAGCTACAGCCTGGCGTGGTGGCGAATGCCTGTAATCACAGCGATTTGGGAGGCTGAGTCAGGAGGATTGCAAATTCAAGGCCAGTCTCACTAACAAGGCCCTAAGCAATTTAGCGAAACCCGGTTTCAAAATTAAAAAGAACGGGGATTGTAGCTCAGTGGTAAATCGTCCCTGTTCAATCCCCAGTACTGGGGGTGAGGGTGGGGAGGAAACTGGAAGCTACTTTGGAACCGGCTGGCTGTGGATAAAGCGAGCCCCCAGACCCTGGGAGTATACAAGTCTGGACTACTGGTCATTTGGAAGCGATGTAGGCAAGGGTCTGTAATTTGGAAGAAGGGCCCTTTTAGGAGCTGCAGTTTGGGTAGGATGAAGGTGGGGCGGCAGTGCGTCCACTCAAGCTAATACGCAAGGACGATGCCGCCCCCACTCTGAACCACTGCCATCTGCTGTGGAAGACTCCACCACTTCACGCCTTAATCGGTGGAGGGAGAATGCCAAAAAGGCTCTCATCCCCTCCCATCGGCCCCTCCTTTTCCTCCTGCTCCCTCTGCAGCACTTAAAATGTAAATGTACATCGTGATTAGCCGCGGGGTCGCTAATTACAGCTGAAGCCATTCATTACATTGTCAGCGCGCGTCGTAGCCCGCCGGCTGTGCGCTCAATCCCAGCCGCAGAGGGGTGGCGGCGCGGGGGATGGAAAGAATCGGGACTGCGAGTTCGGGTGAAGTGCAGGCTAGGAGCGAGCGGAGGCGGAGAAGGGTGCAGTGAGCCCAGCAAATCGGTTGGGCGGTGAAGAAGCGGAGGTGTCAGGGAGAGGGGAGAAACGTGGGAGACAGGAAGGAACGGGAGGAGAAGCCGTGAGAATCCCCAGGAAGGGCTGAGAGCGGAAACCGGGATGGGGAGCCAGGCAAAGAGAGAAAACGCGGGGACCCGGTAGGAACCCACGGGAAGAGGGCAGACACCAGAGGGCGAGGGGAGAGGGTTCAACTCAGGGAAGTTGGATAAAATAAACTTGATGCTGCGCATCACGCAATGGTTAGAAACGCGGGACGACAGTCAGGGTCTTGATTAAGAGTGCCCGCCAAACACACAGTAGGATTCGAACTAATATCATAAAAAGCTTGTTTCCGTCTATGTGTATTTATATATGTAAATGTATTTGTTAAATACCCGCGAGAAATAAGCACACTGATATCGTTGACCTCTACAGCCACATTCGGTTTTTGTTGCCCTCTTAAAGAAAGGACTACTGGATATGAATACAAAATTAAGTACTGTGCAAATTCTCAGAACCGTCTGTATAAATGAGCTATGACCCTGAAGCCTCAACTTCATTAGCTTCTTTCTGCCTGTGTGACCTAGGACGATTTACTTAAGCCTTGCTTTGTTATCCGTAAAATGGGGCTAACTATAGTAAACGGCCTTGTAGAGCTTTGTGACACCCATAACCGTCTTAAAACCTCTGAGGCTAAGTTCTCAGGAAATTTGGCTGTTATTATTTTAGCTGGTGAAAAGGAAAGGAAATGGGAAAAACCTTGGAAATAGCAGTTTCCCTAACACGTTCGGGACTGGTGAGTAGCAAATGAGAGTCTTTTTCATTTCAGAAGGGGTGAGGCGCAAAATGGGGCACCACCAGTCCCTGCTCTGCAAAGGCCCTTCCCAGCAGCACACCCCACCTACCCTGGCCAAATTTCTCACTCCGGGACTGAAAGGAGTTTCTCTGTGTTCTGGCAGGAAGAGGGAGGAGCTCTTGCCCCAGTKCTGGTCCCAGCCTCACTGGGCCAGGAGCTTGGGAGCCTGGAAGTTAAGGAGCCAAAGGGAACACAAATTTATTAGGCACCCGCCAAACACCCAGAATTGAGCCAGATACTCTCACACATTCTATTTAATCTTCACACATTCTATTAAGAAGGGACTCATCATTGCTTGAGAAAGATGGAAACAGAAGTCCAGAGAGATTAAATAACTTGCCCAAAATGTCACATCTAGAAAGCTGCAACCACAAATATCTGAACCCAGAAACTCTGGCTCATTTTACTGCGTTAGCTGAATATAAGAGAAAAAGAAGCCAGTTGCAATGGCTTCAATCCCAGCGSCTCAGGAGGCTGAGGCAGGAGGATCACAAGTTCAAAGCCAGCCTCAGCTGGGTTGGGGATGTGGCTCAAGTGGTAGCACGCTCGTCTGGCATGCGAGCGGCCCGGGTTTGATCCTCAGCACCACATACAAACAACCCGGTCCTCAGCACCACATACAAACAAAGATGTTGTGTCTGCCGAGAATAAAAAATAAATAAATATTAAAATTAAAAAAAAATTAAAAAGCCAGCCTCAGCAATTTAGGGAGGCCCTAAGCAATTTAGGGAGACCCTGTCTCAAAATCAAAATAGAAAGGGCTAGTGATGTGGCTCATTGGTTAAGAGCTTCTGGGTTCAATCCCTGGTACAAGAAAAAGGACATTCATTTTGGTTTTATTTTTGAGATGTAATTGTACAAATTTATGGAGTATAATGTGATRTTTTGATACATGTATACATTGTGTAATGATCAAATCAGGGTAGTTAGCATATCCATCATGTCAAAAAAGAAATTTTTAAATTATTTGAGCTGCCCACTAAAGGTATGAGTTGACTTTGACTTGGGWGAGATAACCACAATGTACTGGTTGTCTATTACTGCATAAAAAATTTCTCCACAACTCACGAAAGTTAGTGGCTTAAAACCATAATCTTTTCTTTTTCTTTCTTTTTCTTTTTTTATTTATTTATTTATTTATTTTTTGGTTGTGGTGCTGTTAGAGATCATGCATGCTTAGCAAGTGCTCTACAAATGAACTACAGCCAGTCCCACCAACATTTTTTTTKGGGGGGGGTACTGGGGACTGAACCCAAGGGTGCTTTATCACTGAGCCCACTAAGTTGTTAGGGATTTGCTAAATTGCTG